AAACTACCCACATATCCAACATTAACAGGTATAAACAGTGTCATTAAGTCCAACACACAAATAAATGATACTTGTGTTTGTAATGCTAAAATGTTATTGTGCAAATATGAAAAGTTCCTTTCAGATCCTCCATCTGTTTTGCTGAAGAACAGATTTCTTTATCCATAGTTTGTACTTACTTAGGTCTAAAATTAAATTAATATACGAGTTGACCTCCCTAACTGGTGAAGTTCCACATAAAAAATACAACAAAAATGTTAATATCAGCAACGCCAGTTCCATTGTTATCTGGAGATTTAATTTTCTCATGTACCTGCTCCATCTCTTCTGAGGTTGCCTGGTTGTCTGACTGCTTCTCCAGCTGAGCTTCCAGAAGCATCATCTGCTCCTTCAACTGCACAAAAAAAAATACAAAAAAACACATAAAGAGACTTTTACCTCAAGAGGCTATTTAAAGGGATTGTTCACTGAAAAATAAAAATGCACCCATTATCTACACACCACTATGCTGATGGAGGGGTGGGTGAAGTGTTATGAGTTTCAGGGGTAAACAGAGTTTTAGCCCAGACAACCTCAGAACAACAGAAAACACACAACATGCCTCCATACTGCTAGTCTGGTGTCGGGGGTTGTGAACACTTGGATGACACCACAGGAGCAGTATGGAGGCATGTTGTGTTTTTTCTGTTGGATTATTGCGTCTGAAGAAGCAGTCGCAATTGACTTCAATGTATTGGGTTCGGCTGCAACGCTGTTTACCCCTGAGACTCCAGAAGTGTTTTGTGGACTCAAACACTTCACCAACCCCTCCATCTGTGTGGTGGTGAGTAGATATGAGTGAATTTTCGGTGAACTATCCCTTTAACCGTGTGTGGGTGTGGAAAAAAAGTCCCACCTGATCTACACTTTGATCTTCAGCCTCCAGCTTGTTGACTTTCTCCAAGGCCTGGTAGCATGCGACAGGGACATTTATTAAGTTTAAAAATAATAATTTAAGTAGAAGTGGTAACGAGTGAGTTCAAGGAGATATAGCTCACCACCCTCAGCTGTTCCTCTGAGTCAGCCATCTTGGACTTCCATACCAGCTCTTCCTCTTCTACGCTCTTCTGCAGATGTTTCAGCATTCCTTCCTAAAGTAGATGGCACCAGGATTAAATGAGCTGCATGCATTTTCTCTATTTTCACACAACTCACATACAAAACACACAAGCTGTTTTCAGACATTAACTTTGGATTGCCTTTTACAATTAAAGAACGCAGTAGGAGATAGTTTGCGTCACATGAACAGGAAAATGTCACGGACATTCATAGTTGTGCGTAGGTGTGTATGAGTCCTACTGCAATTACACAACCGAAACACTCGTTTCTATGCTTGCGGAGAGTGTCTTCCGGTTTCTAGTCTTCAGAAGTTTGCGCTCTCACATACAGCAATTAAGTGCATGTCTGAAAGCAGCTCTACTCTAACACCCATCTAAGAAACAGATTTGTTTTATATCATTAACATCATGATCTCAGTCACGTACTGTTTCAGCCAGGACTGTCCTGTACTGTTCACACTCAGCCTGCAGGGAGCTGTGGCTCTCTTCAGCCTCCTTCAGTTTCCCAAGTAATGCCTGAAAAAAAGAGAGAAAAAAAAAATTCAGAACTTTTGCCAGGTCAATTCAAACCAGTCAATGTACAAAAATAAAAAAACAACTTACTGGCAACTCTGTGCTTGAATCTACCTTCTGGCTCTGCTGGGTGAGAGCCTCTTGAGCTTTCTGTGTAAATTCTTGTAACCAGTTGGACTAAAAGAGAAAAGCAGATAGAAATATATCACTTGAGTTATTTTCAGCAGAATAATGAATAAATGAATCACAACATAATATTATTCAGAAACACAACCCTTTTCTTACCTGCTCTGTCTCTACGGGTATCTGTGGGAAGAGTGTCTGGAGACTTTCTTTGGTTTCGCTTTGAAGAGCAGTCAGTTGTGCCACGATGTCCTGCTCAAACAACGAATGACAATCAATAAACATTAAGTTCATTTAGAGCAAAGCAGTCTTTGATTGATAAGCCACGAGTGTGTAGACACTTACTGCATCAGTGGTCATCTGTTCTCTCACGTCTCTCAGTTGCTCTTCTAGTGAGGTGACGAGAACATCCTTCTCACTCAGACTAATGGAAGAACCAAAACAGAGGGAAAATTGTTTGACAACAGACCCAGCAACTGTGTGATGATCTTTACATGTGCTCACAGTCATTTACCTGTTCTGTAGCTGAGTGAGTTCTGCAGAGCCATCTGACTGCTGAAACAGAGACAAGAAGCAAATGAGTTATTCATTGTTCTGCAACAAGAAGAATCAACAAGAAGAATCATGCAACATAACCAGAGGTACACTTACTGCTGAGTTCTTCATTTGCTCCATTTCTTCTTTAAGGCTTCTAAGTTCCTCCTGTAGCGACGTAATGAGACTGGCATCCTCACTGAAATCACATTCAAATTATATACAGCGATAAATAAATGTGGATTAAGATAAGAGATAGAAAGACAGAGGGGTAGAGAGATGGTGGGAGAGAGATGGAGATGAAGATACTGATAAAGAGAGAGATGGTGCGGTATAGTGATAGAGAGATATAGCAATAGATAGATATGGAGACATAAATAGAAAGAAAATGAGTGATATAGGTGGGCAGAGATGTAGAGAGACATGAAGTTAGATAAAGATGTACAGAAAGATCGATGCAGAGATTAAGAGATGGTGATTGAGCGATTGATGGAGATGGATAGAGATAGAGAGAGATGGAGAGATATTGATGGAGTGATTAAGATATAGAGATGTTAAGAGAAAAAGATGAAAATACAGAAATACACAGGGATAGAAAGATATAAAGACGTTATAGAGAAAGGTAGCAATAGCTAGAGAGATATAACAGTAACCTACCTTCTTTGTTCAAGGTCAGCTTTAGTGTTCTCCTGTAAGAAGATAAGATTGTTTGTGATAAGCATCAACAATTTCCACATCTTTGTATGAATAAAAAAATCTCCCAAAATAATAAAGAGATTTTATCAAAAGTTATCTGTAACACTTACGCCAGCTTCCTCCTTTGTCTGCAATTGCTTCAGTTCCTCGTGAAGCACACTCAGCTGGTCGTCTTTCTCCTGAAGGCTGCAGAGGGGGGGCACAGAATCTAAAGTCAACGGAACAGCTCTGGATCTTATGTCAACTTTCATAAAGGAGGAGGATCAAACCCTTACCTGAGCTTAAGCTGTTCCAGTTCTGCAGCATTCACCTGCAGCACCATAAATGACGAAAGGTCTTAGAAATGACTATGTGGGGTCAGCCTGACTGACCATTTAAAAAAAAGTCAAACTGACACAGTATGTTCTACCTGATTGTCCTCGTCCTCCTTTTTGTTCTGACTGGCTTCCAGCAGTGAGTTGATGGAGGCCACCTGCTGTACGAGCTGGCTTTTCTCTGCCTGTGTCTCCTCCAGCTGAGCAGTGAGGGCTTCTACCTGAGCAGAGCGCTCCCTGATGTCAACCTCCAATCTCTCTGTACGCTCTTGGAAATCTACAGGGAGAACACACGTCACTCAATTTTTATGATGCAGCAGGAAAAAAAAAACCTTAATCTCTATGATGTATTATTTGTTCTGGGTGTTGTATTTCCAACTGTCATTTAACTGTCGAGATACCCAACTGAGGCACCATCCATTTTAATTGGTTTAAGTTTTAAAACAGTGTTTTAGAACAAGAATGACCTCTGTCCACAACTGTTTAAGATCCACAACAGTAATAATCCCTGTGAAAGACAGACCTGAGATTGTGTTGCTTTCCTGCTGAGCCTTGTCCAAAGTGGCCTGCAGGCTGCCATTTTTACTTTGTGTTGTTCTGAGCTCTTCGCACACTTCCTCCAACCTCCTCTGTAACGCCTGCTCGCTCTCTGCATGGCCAGCCTGAAAAGAAATTGAACAATATAAGTCAGCAGAGGGCAGCAAAGACTCGCTGAATCACCCTCTATAAAGCATTACTTCACAGGGCAGTATGAGTACATGAAGTCCTATCTCCACACACTTAAAGACAATAATAATAGTATATTCACAGATTTTCCAACAATGGGGCCACCAAAAAAAGTTGAGGAAGTGTAACTTTGGATGGATGGTTTTTTCATTTGGAAGTGTTTGTTTCTTAAGGAAGTGTTTTGTATAAAGTGCTTTGAAGGTTTTGAGATGATTAGTCTGCATGAAGTTCCGCAACAAATTCAAAGCCACAAATAGTTGATGATGATTGATCACAGACTGAAGGCCTGAGGGTTTGCATAATGTGTTTAAAGACCATAACCTGTCAGAAGAGATGTCGGTAAATGATTAAACCAAATGAGGACTTGACTGTCAGGAAGTGCTGACTGACTTACGCCACATAACTTGTGACCAACTGCAGTCATTCCTATAAGACTGTGTAAATGTGAGAACACTAAATGAACAGATAATGTAAGACAGGGGTGGAGTGCACTGCATGTCTTCAAGTCATCAGAAAGACAAGTTGTAGATAGCATTACATTGTTCTTGTGCTTTTACGGCCCGTTACAGCCGGTGAGGAGAGATGCCCGGACACGCACGCATTCCAGCTGGTGCTGTGAAGCATTTTTTCTGCAGCCCCATTATTGTATGGCTGCATTCCAGCCCAGCCCTAGAGCTCTGTGATTACAAGGCAATCGCATTTACCATAACATTAGAGGGCTGGGGGATAGGTGGGAAAAACCTATGCTGGCACTTTGTGGAGACTACAACTAAATGGCCACTCAATGAGGAAACAGCATTAGAAAAACTAGATTAAGTTGTGGAAACTTGATCACGTCCAAAGTAATTTATAATGAAGATGATGTGGTATTCCCACAGGCCAGGCCAACCTGCTGCAGGGAGAGTTGCTTTTCAGCAGCGGAGACCTTGGCCTCCAGCCCTTTCCTGATGTGCTCATCAGCAACCAGACTTTCCGTCTTCTCTCCGAGATCCTTGGTTAACTTTGCACATTCCTGACGCAGCTTGGCCAGCTCTGCATTTTGTCTGCAGCAGACAAAAAAGGGGGACAAAGAGAGAAAGAGTCAAGAGAGAACCCATAACTGACAAGCATACAGGCCAAATACTCCAAATATGACTCAGAATCTGTACACACTGTACTAAATTTCCAAGTATTACTAATATGAATTTAAAGAGCTTCATGCATGTCATTCACCACTGTTGGTCAGTTATTGTGACAGGGAGAGACTCACTTGCTCTCTGCTTGACTAGTGGCTTGGTTGAGGGCATCGCGGAGAATGGAGTTCTCCTGCTGTAGACGGGCAAGTTGGGCATTGGGGCCTTTGTCCAGCTGGTCCTGCAGGCTAAGAACCTGGAAGAGTTTTTTTTAAAGTTTTTTTAAACAACTGGAAATATTGGACTAGTGTTCTTTAGGCGGCTGCTTTAATATATCTGAAGAAAAATGAATTTCAAAAGAGTAAAACTCTTAATTAAGTCAGATTATCAAGAGGGCAACAGAAAAAAGAAAACTGAAATGCATTTATCTGAATTGTACATTAGGGAAAATATAATAGGACTAACCTTTGCATTGAGCATCTGAGTCTGGGCTACATGGTCCTGGTAACTGGCCTGCATGCGAGCTTGGAGTGCGATCATTTCCTGCTCCCTCTTACTCAGCTGAGAGCTCAGCCTCGTCTCAACGCTGGCAACCTTGGACTTCTCAGCAGACAGGTCCTGATAATGAGACAGCAGATTCAGACTCACTGTAATATACCGGTGGCCACAGAGCCAGTTATTAACAAAGTGGCATGTCTCCACAACTATTGGATTTATAGTACAGGAATGTATCATCCCTTGCCAGAGGAATCTAAAGTTTTATGAGGACGATGTTGCTTCTGCTTTGTGTCCACCATGACGACACAAATGTTCTCACTCTTCACAATTCGGGGAAAAGGCCACATGCTAAATAATGAAAGGGTTAAATGTCCTTTTTCTTTATTATATAATAACCACCTGTCCTTACATCAAACAATCAAACACCAACCTTAGCATTCATTTATATACAATATCTTAAAATAGACAGGACAAGTGTTGAATGTTTTTATTGTAAGCTAAATTAAATTAAACTAAATGTAATGTAAACAATGCTATGACATTTCTGAGCAAAATCATGCTTCTCCTGTGATAAATCATGACCTCTCCTCTACTGCCACCTATAGGCTGACATATATATGACATGTTATATGTAACATCTTATGTAATGAGTGAGATACAGTAAAATTGAGAGAGCTTAAGTGTTCTCTATGATAATCATGTTGATCTTAGCGACACCATCAGGAAAAAAGATAACAGAACAAATGTCTGTACGCTTTCATGCTCAACTCAGACTTAGCCCTTTTAAACTTGGGCAACATCATGTCTTTTTCTCTGCTGCCACCTTTTGGTCAAACTACACTTTGACTCACTGGCAGAAAGGATCTAAGAACTGAGGAGATTTTCATCCATCTGACAGTAGTGGAATCTCTGGTCTATGGCCAGCATGGCCATGCTGGCCATAGACCAGATGTGTATTGTGGCAGGAGTTTGGCACCATCTGTGACACTTCAAAGTCTAACCTTGGTGAGTTCTCTAAGACGGTTCTTTGCTGCAGAAGCATCCTCTTGTTCTGCTGCCAGCTGTTTCTCCCGCTCCTCCAGTTGTTTCTTCAACACGGCCACTGGGTCTCCTTTCTGAGTTGCCTGAAAATATGGATGTACAGATAAAGAGAGAGAGAGAGAGAGAGAGAGAAAGAAAAGAACTCAGTGAACTATTCGTGCCTTTGTACCCTAACTAGGTCTTGTGGGTATAATTTTCCTCATCAGAGCAGTTTCTCATACCATATGCCAGGTGTCCTGAATGATGCCAACTTTTTCGGACAGGATCTCGATGAGCCTATGTGCCTCCCCCTCACTGAACACCATGCTACTGATAGTGGACACCAGAGCTTTGTAGGGCAGGTACAGCGGAGCATCAGTAGAATCCACCGCTGCCACTAAACCAACAAAAACAAATATTTACAGTTTATTTATTGTTTGAAATTAAAGAGACAGGCAGTTTTGAAGGGGATTAGGCAGTCACAGTTAATTCTAAATACCCACATGGCATTAGGAAAAGAACAAGGTTGTGACTTGTCCTTTGGATCTGGGACCCGTGCAGCTTCCTATGGCAAAATGAGCGGGCACTGTGGCACCAGGCAGAGCCAAGCCTCAGGCAAGTGAGATCTCCAACCCCCCTCCCCTTCTTACCCATTGTCAGGGCACTAAGAGCCTTTGTCAGCAAACAAAACAGGGCAGCGATGTTTGGACAAGCTGGCTTGCTCTATGCCCTTTAGAACTGAGTGCCAGACATTACCCACTACTGCCATTGGCACAACTTTCCACGGGTACAGGACTAGAGGTTCATCAGTACTGACAGGGTATTACTGCCTTAGAGTGTGTGAGCGTGTGTGTGTGTGTGAGCGTGTGTGTGTGTGTGTGTATGTGTGTAAGTAACTCAACTATGCAGACATGCCCCCATTCAAGTCTGACTACTATCAACAGTGTTATGGCTAATGTAGTTCCTGCCTTGACAACCATTTCCATCAATTCGAGGGAGACGGCTAATTTTAACAATGATGGTTCTTGCTTGGCAACATATTTATAGACTACAGGGACTTTGTAGACTAATCTAAGCCTTGTGCAGAGAGGTTATTGTGGGTAACTGTAGTTTGCAGAGGGTCCCAGCAGAATGTGACAAGTAATAGCAGTCCTGTGCATCAAAAAACAAACAATGAGGTACAACAGGGAAGAATATCTGGCAGCAGAATTAGAAAACGCCACACAACAGGCATCTTTTATATATTTTTTAAATGCTTTGAAATTATTGGTCTTAAAAACCCCATAAATGAGAGTAAGAATACTGATACTATACATTTCACAAGAGAAAGTTATCAAGCACTTAGAAATAATGTAGAGCTGAGATTTCGGCATATTGGCAATGATGGAAATGGCAAGTTATGTAATGACATATAGTTATTGATTTGTCTGCAAAATTCAGTGTCATCTCTACAACATCAGCTTACCAGGCTCACTCTTTTTCTTAGAGGACTTCTTCTTGGGCTCCTGTGCTTTTGCTTCAACAGCAGGAGCCTGCTGTGATCCCACAGGGGGCACTGCCATCACTGGGACCTCTTTGGTAACAGCCTCCAGCACTGGGGCAGTCTTGGATAGAGCTGGTGAAGACTTGGCTGGGGCTGCTGCAGCCTTTACTGGTGCCGGGGCGGATTTGGCTGGGGCAGATGCAGTCTTAGCTGCAGGGGCAGCCTTGGTTGGGGCAGACACAGGGGCCTGGGTTGATGGAGGGGCTGCAGAGGACTTGACTGGTGCCGGGGCAGACACTGGGGCAGGGGCAGCTACTTGGGTTGAGGCAGGCTCAACCTTGGCGACCTTCTTCTTCTTTTTCTCTTTGGGAGAGGGTGCAGGTGAAGGCTCGGCAGCTGGAATTGGTTCAGTGGCAGGTGTTGGCTCAGGGTCTGCTGGTGCTGCGGCGGCCGCTGGCTTAACCTCGACAGCAGGGACAGGCTCTGGGACGGGTTCAGGAGCAGCAGCTACAACTGGGGCAACCACAGGCTCAATAACTTCTTCAGCATCAGTAGCCTCTTCAGCCTTTTCGTGCTCTGGGATCTTTCCATTGGGCTTGTCTTCTTTCTTCTTTCCACGGCTCTTCTTCTCAGACACTTTGTCCTTCTTCTTTTTGTCAGAGCGAACAGACTGTATCTTACCTAACTCTCTACGTTGTTTAGCAAGGGCCTCCTCATAAGAGGTCTCCTTCATGGAAAAGGTGGAGACAAGGGCAATCCCGACAGCCGAGATCACCATGAATCCACCAAACACCATGATCCCAAGGGTCTGGGGGTCGTAGATATCCATTGTTCAATTTCAGTAAACCTAAAAAACAGAGCAGTATTCTTGTTAACATGGTTGCAAAATAAAAAGTGAACAAAAATGCAAACAACTTGAGGAAGGAATTCATATTAGTTATTCAATATTCCTTTGTGCCTCAGCAAAATGAAAACTGACAGCTGCTGTATTAAGAGCAGCTGGTGAGAGAGAATTGTGATAAATTCTGCACAGCTAGACTTTACCCTCAGCCGCCTCAGGGTGTCTCTGTTACCCCCATTAACTTTTGCCTTTAGGCGGGCTACATAATGCAGAACATCTTATCAGCAAACAGTGCAAAGCCCGTTGTCATATGGCCTCTTATCAATGAAAAAAAAATGAGCTAATGCAGCTGAAAATCACTCAATGTTCAATCTCTTACACAGCTTCATTTTAAAGTCCAACACTGAGCTCTCTGGTGCAACACAAGAACTAAAACCTACTGAGCCAAAGTAAACACTCATATATAACAGCCCCCAGCTAAAAGAAGCATTCCCCGAAACACATAATGTTCACGCTCATTTAGGAGACGTGTCATAAAAAATGTTTTACAACTTTAAACATACAATTCTCAGTATTTGTTCATCAGTGCTTTACTAAACAGAATGACTGATGTTATTTGCACAATTGTGGGGTTGTTGGGCAACACTTTATTATTATATCCTCATGCAAAATAAAATAAAATACAATGGTTTGGTATGAAAACGTTATTTTACTAATCAGCAGAATGACCGATTTTTTCATAGAGCCTGGGTGGGCAAATTGCCAAAGCAATCAATGCAGAAAAATGACTTGAAATTATGTCGTCACATTTGATAAAGATGCAAAAAGTATCAGAGCTATAATGGAGTTGAAGAGTTAAACACTGAAATGAACATATGGCAGAGAAAAAAAACCAAACCATGGAGGCAAAAAAAAAATGGTAACATCATGTACTTTTGGTCTAAAAGTACATAAAGTTACCAACCACTGGGTGGTGGTTAATGTTAATTTCCTGCCCTGCAAAAAAACTTAACACAAAGGGTCTTTTAACTATCATTTTAAAGTTCTTAAAGGCTCCAGGCACAAACCAGAATGTCTAGCCTGCAGGAGAGGAAAGTTGACTGAGAGAAGAAGACAGCTCAGGGCAACTAAAAACTTTTTTTCCCAGTCATATCCTGTTTTTATTTTGAGTGAGGGACATGTACAAATGCAAAAAAAGCAATGTGGGGCTTAGCAAAAAGCCAGCATTGTGACGCGTTATAGCAGAGAACTGCTGAGCTGCTTTAAGTGTAATCGAAACATGAGTCCAGAGTCCTTGTTCACAGCAGGGTCTAAAAGCCACGTACAGAGAGTACTGCCTCCTAATCTATGATGTCACATGTCAGTATAGCTCCACTCACACTGAACTTAAAAAGATGATTTCGAGAAAAACTACATTATAGGGTGACTTTCTGCAGATGAAAATGGATCTCAAGGTTCATAAGAGGCATGATTATAAGATGGAACTTCATATTGAGCAACTAATAAATCATAGATAAAATAAAATACAAAAATCTGGCTTTTGATTCGTGTACAATGAACTGCTACAGATGCATTGGACATAAAACAAAGTTCAAATACTATGGAAATATCAACTTTACTCACTGAGGTAGATTTCATGAATGCATGCTGTATTGGATTTTCCTTTACGGAGGATACATGTGTTTCATTATGCTTGGTGCTCAGAATAAGAAATATTCGTACAAAACCACACACTTTTTATTCCAAACTTTAATACAGAAGAAATGACTTCCAACAACTTCCATGACAGTTAGTTTAAAATTAAGCCAACATGAAATGTGTAGAACCGAGACCACAGCTGGAATAGGCCTCGACTCTTACTGAGACACAGAGGACACCTCACATCTGAATCCTTTCAGACGTGCACTAACACACAGTGTGGAAAATCTGCCATCACTTCTATGGAAATGTTTTTGGTGATCTAGCATTTGAAGCTAACACTGTGAATCAATGAACTTGGCTAACGTCCTGCACACTACGGTTTAAAGTGTCGGGTTACGTAACAAAAGATGAACTACAAACGCTTAAAATAAACCCGGAGAGTAAACAGCTAGCGCCAAAACGCTGTGGAATCATTTCAACAGAACTTTATTCCGCAGTTTTTTCCATCCACTGGTAGTTAGCAGGAGTTAGCTTCCCGGGGCTAGCTAACGGTGGCTCAATGAATAAAGAAGGAAAAATCCAGGATTGCCTCACTTACCTCGCTGGTGATGGAGCTGCTCAACGGGAAGGAGAGAGAGAGAGAGAGGGGGGGGCAGAAAGCTGCGTGTTGAGGGCGAAGTGACTTGTGTGTGGAGCTGCTGGTCCAGCTGTGGGGCTCAGTTGCCTTGTCTTTCTTGCACTGGTCTCCCTCTCGCTCCGCTGGAGAATCCCTGCTCCGCTGTGAAGTCGTGGCACTTCGAGCTGGCTAGACGTGCTGGCCCCGTGCCCCACATAGCGACCAGCGACCGACGGAGCCTCTGATTGGCTGCAGCGCGCTGGAGCCGGAAGTGAGCACGCCGGGAGCTGTAGTCGTCTACGTCGACGAAAAAAAAAAGCAACCCTCTCTTGAGTGTTGAGTTTTCAAACAAAGGTGGTTTGTCTCACAGAAGTAGCGGAGCACAGCTCCTGGAGTGCAGCTCTGCAGAGAGTCTGTTCAGTGGGCCCACCGATCCTTCTTCCACCGCACTGTTCTTCATGGTGACACCGGAGGTTTAGTTTGCAGACACCATGAAGTCGTTCAAATCACATGGTTTAAAACTTTCTGTCTCAAACAGGTTCTATGTACCCAATGATAACTTCACATATAGTGTGTTGCTAGTTTCCACAATGCCAAAATAAATACATTTAAAAAATATGTTAAGATTAAATAATTATAGTACTTATGATAAATGTGTGTGCATTATAAAGGCAATAGGCTTGTACACAGTATATTTAATTTAAACACATTAAACAAATACATTGAAAAGGAATGGATATTCAAAAAAATAGTGACTGGAAATTCACAAAAGTCTTTCTGTCTGTATGCATATTAAATTGTGATCCAAATAGCAATTATAATTAAATGACACAAATATATTTAATGTAGCTATTGGCAATCACAATTACAATATAAACACATTGAACAAATGCATGGAGGAGAAAATAATAAACTGGGAGAAATATGCAAAGCTCACGCTATCATTGTAATGGTTTGCACTATTCTATAAATGGAAATATTAAATCTGGTTTGACAAAAAGGTAAAATAGAGCTCTTTGGGTTTGGACAAGGTTAGGGTGTCTTTTTTTAAATTGGTTATACATGATGCCTTAATATACTGTACTGTTGATGCCAAAGTTATCTGTTTTTACCCAAGTAATTTGTTCAAAGCAATAATTGCATTCAGTATTTCCTAATATACTTTCATTTTATAGATAATTAGCATCATTGCACACTCAAATAATGGCGTTCCAAGCAAGTCAACAGCTCTTCCAGAACTTGTCATCATATGCCACACCTGAAACGTCAAGCTGCAGGATATGATTGTTAGCATTGTCAGTGACGTGTGAAGCCCTGACAGTACTTCTTGTAAAGCTTGTTAACCACACCTTCCTTTATCTTAACGCCCAACGAAGTATCACAGGGGAATAATAATGAAATTCTATTAATGCAATTAAGTAGCACAATGAGTACCTGTCAGTTCTGTCCGGGAAATGTGGAGCTCAGACGCACTTATCGTCTGAGCTAAGTCATCTGTATAGTTATAGACATTCTTTGCACAAGCTTTCCTCAAACCCTGTGTTGCTATTGTCACAGATGTTCCTGTATACAAAAACACACAGAATAATAGTTTTAAATACTTATAACTCCTTATTTCCATCAGCTTAAACAATAAACAATTATTTTTCAACATGTCTTTCTAATACATACAACTATGCCTCATCGACAGGACGATTAGCAGAGTGTGCTTTCCAATGTGCACTGCTCTACCAAGTGACTGACAGACCAAACCATGTTCTGCTAAAATGGCTGGAGTGTTTTCACCTTTTGCACATAAACCACAGTGGGTGATTTTGACTTCTCTCGTACCTGCACTGACATGTGACATTTACCCTCTGTTTTCTCACACTGACTGTGCTCAGCTGCTGCTCACTCTTTTGCTAATATTTGTACAGTGTGGCAATCAAGATGATAATTTGCCTTTTACTGACATGACACAGGATAAAGCACTGTAAAGTAATGGTGATTCAATTTAAAGTAATTCTGTTGTGGGATGAGATATAATACTCTTGATGGTCTGTGTATGACTCAGAATTTGAGATGACATTCTGTATTTGCATTGTGTGCACCAGAGAAAACAACTAAGCAGGACAAGTCACAATGACCTGGAAAAGATTTGGCTAAAGCAACTTACAAAACCTTTTGAGAACAGCAGAATGTCATATTTGACAATATTTGGCAATGACGCTGTGAAAATCAAGGATATTCCAGAAAAAATTTGTGAATCCCCTCAGTATTATGTTGAGTAAATATATGAGCCCATTTGAGTGAGCTTGATTGCTATGTACAAAGAATATACGTGACATTTATTGGCTCTTAAATTTGAACCTGCAATCTGCAACATTTCACACCAAAGAAAAACAATGTTGTAAGAAACTGTCAGCCTCTAATCAGGCGCTGGAGGTATATGCTGTATTAGCCCATGGCCTTGGTGACTGTGTTATGCAGTATGTTTATGCATATACATTTTCAGCCTCTTTACTTTCAAAACTAGCATTAGGATACATATTTAGCAATATAAAACATTATCTAATTTGGCCGGGCTCCCAATTAATCATTTTCAAATGCAGAAGCAAAATTCTCACACAAAAACCACTCCAGCAGTCACTGTAGTGACATAAGTATAAGTAAATATAAGTATCCATCAAGTTTCAACATAATACCCTGACCTCTAAAACCAGCATGTTGCTCTTTCAACTCAGAAGGTGGAAGCAAAAGATAACAAGGGGAGGAAAAATGGCAGTGCAAACTTCATATAATGAGCACCAGAAAATAGCCTCCTGCTCTGTTTCACTAAGGAAGAGGTGACAGTTCAGTTTCGCCAAAGTGCAGGTGCACTTTTCAATATCGAGTCCCTGCAGAGGACACAGTTTCTGTTTGAGACAGCCTTCATGCTTTATGGTACTGACTGCACTTATCATGATGTTTCAGCTGAACAGTGATAGAGCTGTGGGACATTACGCAGGTGTTCAGGGTCAGTCAGCAGAAATAAGACTCTTTGCAGTTCGCCTGTCCATGACCAAAGTGGTCTCATACTCAAAAAAACAACTTTTATTTCATGACATGACACAGCAGAAGAGGAAAGTACGATGACTGATGAGTGTTTGATGGAGGATTTTGACATGATATTATCATAAAGGCAAGGGTTTATGACCAATCAGTGATAACGCCTTTAAAAGTTCCCAAATGTGAAATAAACCTCACAAATGCATTTAAAGCCTGTAATATCTGAGTGTGCCTTAGAGGAGATGAGGAGATAAGAATATTCATAAATTCAGCAAAGTGATTCTTTGAAGCCAGCAGATTTGTTGCTGCAGACAAATTTCACACAGAATATCATTGCCTCAGAAGTTTCTGAGATTAGAGCAAAAACTTTAAAGGACCTCTTTATCACTGTAACATCAGCTGCACAAAAGAATGAATTTGTGACGGACATTTATGTTTCACACAGATACTGATCGGATTAGTGTTTCGGACAGTCAAGCACGTACTCTATTAGTAAATTCCCTGAAAATCATGCCACTCTCAAACTGAAGCTTCAGGCTAAACTCTGAGTCTTTTACTATACATTCCTCTTCATAAGTGTTCAGCTGCAGAATTACTGAGGACGCCTCTTGGATTCAAGGTGAAACATCTTTAGTATCTGCAATCAAGTCCCTCGATTCAGCTCTATTTGGAGAACTACGACCTGTGGACTGACAATCTTCACAGAAATCTACCACAGCCTTAAATCAATGAATCAACCAATCTGAACACTGTCTGCACGACTAGTGACAGATCCATCATGGACAAATACAATTCAACTTTCTCTCTCCATGTCTCATTCAGGTTCCTTTCTCTATTGTATGTGTGGAATTCCATTGTATGTGTGGAATTGTATAACTGTTCTATACATATTATAGATAAGAATGAGTGAGTATAATGCTACCATGAGCAGAAAGTGTCGGATGAATTTTGCATGCACTGTAATGTTTTACAGCAGATCATTTGTTTGGGTCGTGTTGGTTAGCGCTGGTCAGAGTAAGACATTAAATGTGCATTTCGGTTGTGCGGTGCTGATTCCCATGAGCGCTCTGGCATTTCCTAAAAGCTTACCTAATGCTGCTCAATGTCCCATCCCAGGATGTACTGTGGTCAATGGATTTAACACAAACATGTGTACAGCTGTGTTTAAATTCATGGGCCCACACACTGAAGCCTGGTGGAAACTGAATATAGTTAGTGGAAAGATGGATTCTGCCACCTAGTGGTATGATGGGTCGCTCAAATACAAACTTGTATGTCATAAGAGTATAAATTAAGAAAAAAAGGTTACCCCACGTAAAAAAACAGAACGGCAAGAGATCAAACTTGGGAAAAACAAGATTTATTTAATGCAATTATTACAAATTTATAAAATGCTGTTCTGTAGGAAAAGCATCATGTAAAGGTCTTCGCACAGATGGAATCCATTAGAAATACATTCATTTTCATATAAAACTATAATGTATTTTAACTCTCCACTGAGCCTGGTCACGTTTGTAAAGTATCTTATTTTTTTTTTTAGTGCATCTTTTTCAGTTTGAAATAAACCAACTGCTTTGAAGATCTGGTAAAATATATCAGGTCCAATACATGAGAGCCTGTAATTAACGATTTGGGGAAAAATAAAGAAAAGGAACAATAATTAATAGTTGGCCAGGGTAAAGAAGCAGCTGAGGACATTATACATGTGGTACAGGGGTATTGTGGGTGCCCTGTGCAAATGTGCTGGGATGAAAATGCTAATGCTTAAATAGCCTATTGTTTGATTTATTCTTCTACCGGTCTCTATGATTCATCCATGTGTGTCTTTGATAACTGTGGGATCTGACGCCACTTCTTACAAATGGGGACGAAACCAACAGTCCATTCCTGAGGTGAAGTGCAGCTATTTTTGAATACTTGATGATCAGTCTTGTCTTCTAACGGGGTGGTTTGAATACACTCTAATCTCAGAGGCCAGGAATGCAGAGAATGAGGATAGTTTTTTCCAGGCACTAGTTTTGCATCAGTCAAACTGTTCCATTAGCAAACAAAAAGCCCCCAAAAGATTAAGCATATGAGCCGTAAAATGTAGGTTATGGCTATGCAAAAGACATTCTCTAAGCCTTTTTGCAAAAAGGTATTTACACGAGGGAGGAGGTTAGAATTCAAATTCATGGAGGCAGAAACGTGATGAAAAAGGCAAAATTTACACTATGTGCATAATGTAAAAAGGATAAATTGAGAAATTACCAAAAAAACCAAACAGAATTCATGTCTTGTAGTGCTGCAAAAATAGGGAAGACCTTAATGGTGGCAGCCTCATTCTCTAAAGGCATTACATTGAGTTTGACTTCCATAAATAATGGAAAAGGATGGACCACAGACCAGAGGACAGGGACTCTGTAAACATGGAGACATTCGTCTTACGAGACACTTGAGCATCTCGTGCAGGGCTTTAAAGTGGCATCAGACCCCTGGGTGTGGGCAGAGAAAGGTCTTGGATTCATGTCCATGCAGGGGCCCCGGGGACACCTGGTTATACTGGTAATGTTATGGACAGGACCACTTGAAAACGTGTCAGTTGCTCTTGAGCAGGTCAATGCATCCCTGCAATAGAGTCACATTGTTCTGTGGAGACAAGAGTAAACAGGTAAGTTTTCAAGAAAGTATCCATTAAATTTTTTTGCAGACCCGGGTCAGGGAGCAGATCCAGAAATACTTTTCCACTTTCTTTAAGATTGTGAGCGTTTTCCCACATTTTCATTGATTTCTCTGAGGACATTTCATGGATCTTTAAGACATATTTAGGCTGCTGATATTTATGAGTGCGTGTGTAATTTGGTGCAGCCCCAAATAAAAATCTAGATCTAGTGCATTGAAATGTGGCTTCATAAGGGGACCGTTGAACCAGAATTGTATCTGCTTTTAATCTAGTTTTCTCTCTCTCCTCATTTGAAAAAAGTTGTTATAATGAGCTTTTTATTATCTTGTGTTTGCACGTGTAAACAATATACCTATGTTATGTATGGAAAAATGGAAAGATCCTTATCTGAATTTTGTGACACCTGAATATGCCAGATGGATTGTTCTGATAACAAAGTGATGCTGTAGCATGTAAACACCAGCACAGTTCTAAAATGCTATATATATTCCCCAAGATGTACTAGGAACACTTGCTACTTGTAATTATTCAATCAGCCAAACATAGGCAGCAGTGCAATGCATGAAATCAAGCTGATACAGGTCAGGAGCTTCAGATAGTGTTCACAACAAACTGTGATCTCAGCGATTGTTGGTGCCAGACAGGCTGCTGTGTCTTTCACATTATTTAAATGTTGTTCTCCTGAGATTTTCACCCATAACTGCTTGTTGAGTTTTGCTCAGAATTGTGTTCGAAACAAAACAAAAAACGTTCAGTAAGCACCAGCACTACAGAGGGAAACTCCTTTTAGATAAGATAGGAAAATAAGAGGAAAATTGGCAGGCTGGTTGAAGCTGACTCAAAGGCTTTAGTTTCTCAGATAAGCAATCTTAAGTGAGGTGAGAAGAAAAGCATTTTAGAATGTATAACGTGCAGATGAGTGGGCTACAACGGCAGATGATGTGTCGAGTTCCACTCTTGTCAGGCAAGAAGTGAAACCTGAGGTTACAGTGGGCAGAGGCTCACCAAGACAGCACAAACAAAGCCCAGTCTGATGAATCTGGATTCCTGCTGAGGCTGTAGATGGTAGGGTCTGAATTTGACATCAAGATCAGGAATCCATTCCATCATGATCCAACCTGCCTTATGCCCACAGGTCAGGCTGCTGGTGGTGGTGTGATGGCATTAGGAATGATTTTTGGCAAACATTAAATACCAATCAATCATTATTTGTAAGCCAGAGCCTCTCTGAGTATTGTTGACTAAGTGCATCCCCTTATGGTCAGAGTTTTCTGCACCATGTCCAAAAGAAAAAGTTGTCTCAGACAAGAACTGAAGCTGTTTTTGAGAGCAAATACTGTGTTCCCAATTAAGTGCTTGGTGAGTGCATGTTCCCATTGGAAGGGATGGAAAGTATTCTCATGAGTCAGACTATATAACAAAGTAGACATGTATTTAAGGGGTGTTTTATGCTTCTCACCTTGGCATGTTTTATTTCGAGCTCAGCCATCTCTATGAGGTTCTTCCTGAAGGCCACAACACGCCTTCCCTTGAAACCAGTGAGCTCTAGGAGGAAGACATTGAGCAGTTTAAAGGCTCACATAGCGCATACCATCTTCTACACAAGTACAAAAATCAGTCTGAATTTATCAGACATGGATCCACAAACCTTTCTTCCCAGAATCTGAAAGCTTGTCAAATTTCTGCAGGCACTGCTGCTGGTGCTCCTCTGCCTGGGGAATGTCCTTGCTTTTCAGTCGAGCTTTATCTAAAGCCTTGTTAGAGTTCTCGTAGTCAGCTAACGCCCGGGCTCGCCTGTATAAAAGGTCCTAACAGACATCCACACAGATGAACATAACACTTTAAGCAAATTCAAAATATATAACAATCAATTGAGCAAAAAAAAAAATCCAGTAAATTAACATCTAATTCCATGTTTGCTAAGGACAGATTTTATTTTTACAAAATAATAATAATAATAATCCAGATAATACAAGCAATTCTGTTTTATGTACGAGGGTTACATATTGCTCCTTAAATGCCTTTTTCCAAATTAGAATAGATAATAATTTGGTCCTTGAGCTGAATATAACAATAAAAATTAAAATTTCTAATATAATTTAAAATGCCTGGCTTGAAATGCAGATTATTTTCTCTCTTTTCAATCGTTCAACTTTACTTGTTGTAAGTAGCAGAGCATTTGTTACTGCATGTTGGCGTTGCCTGCTCGCGATGTGCATCACGCCTAGACACCATTGTAATCTGTGCACCTTGTATGAAAGCACACGATAAACACGTCTCACCTTAGCAGCCTGAATGTCTCTCATGTAGTATCTTAGCAGCTCGGTCAGTTTCAGCTCCTGGTCAGATGCAACTCTTCCCTCCACTTTCTGCATTCAGAGTCAAAGTCACACAGTAGCAACCACAGTGTACTAATACATCACGACAAATATTTTTTCTCAGTTTGTTGAGACATGAGGTTCAACTTACTCTGAGTTTCTCAAACAGATCTGACAATTTCTCCAGGTGTCTGATAAAATAAGTGAAACAGTGAAACACTTTAATTGCATGTTTGATAAACATGTCAATACATATAGCATGACATTTACATCGCAACTCAACATGAAAACGATATGACACTCACTTCTTATTTGCTGTACTATCATCAGCCGAGAGACTGTTCAGAGTGGAAGAGATGTGAATATAATCATCCGCAATATCTGAAATGACAGAAATCATCTATCAAAACTACAAAAAACTAAATTCCAAATAGAAATAAATGAATTGCAGCACAGATCCCGTTCCAGTTAATATTTATCTAATACTTTTGTGCGCGCGGGTCATTTTCTCTGCTTTGGCAGTAGAATCTTTTATCTTGCTGTAGTAGTCCAGAAGAAATGTCTTCTCCTGCTCAAAAAAGTCATCGACTTCCTGTGTAGGAGACAAACAAACTAAGGTCAGTGGGGAAGTGGTGCCAACCCTGAATCTGTAAGGCCGTCGTATACACTGTAAGCAGATCATGCAGAAGCCCCACCTTCACTCCTGAGATAAGGACCTCATCAGCTGACTTCACCATGTTTTTAAAGAATCCTCCAAACATTTCCTTGGCATTCTTCCTTCTCACACTCAGCTAAAATGACAGAATTAAGAAAGATAAAATATCAAATCTCTATGAGGAGTATGACTAATTTGTTGAAGAGAAATTTGTTGTGTAATGGAACTAAGTAAGATCTGAAATAACCTTTTTGCTTGTAACAATAGTTCATTGTAATCCACACGTACATGTAGCCAGGGCTCTTTCATTAAACTGCTACCTAAATATATAAAGCTAGTTCTGTAAACAAACGCCACTGCTACTGACAAAGACTACACAGATAAGCATAACTGCTGATCACAGCAGGATGTAAGCCATGTGTCACAAGTGTCCAGTACACTCTTACTTCCTCTCTTTCCAACAGACAATTTGGAAAAGGAAGTCAGCATTATGAGGAACTCACATCCTGGTCATACTCTAAGAAAATCTGGAAGTTTCTGTCTTTGTTTAAAATGGGGTGAGAGGACAATCGCTGCAGGAAGATTTCGTGCACTTGGACAGTCTTCTTGAACACAGCCAGGTATTCACTGAACAGAAAAAAAACAAACACCACAGATTACACAAATAAAAGAGCTTTGGAAAGGACATGACGCTGCCTTAAGGACACATACAATACAATATATCTATGTTTTGACTGAGAGTCACACTCACGCCTCCAGCTCCTGCTTCATTTTAGCGTACTCTTCTTTGGTCATAGTGGCTTCACCTTCCCCCAGTTTGTGCATTTTCTCTCTTGGGCTCTCAAAGTCAGGCTTTGGGGGCGCTGGAGGAATCTATGGCAGATAAAGCAGGAAACAATTTACTTTATTTCATTCATTTTCAACAGGATAAATGGTCTTATTTGCAACATACTCATGAACGTTTGGGAAAATAGCTGCTTGATTCTTTTAAAATTGATATATAAATAACAACAAACCAAACATATATGTTAACTATCCTTTCTTTGTTTTGTAAGTAGAGCTCAAAGAGAATTGTGATATTACGTTGTCTGTCTATGTCTGTGTGTGTGAATCACATGTGCAAGTCATCCAACTCACTATCAGGCCAGCGTAGTCCTCTGTCTCAACCAGAGTGTCATGTAGCCAGATGAAGTCTTCATGCTGCCTGGGCACAGAGAAGTCTGGCTTCTGGAAAGAGCTCAGTGTGGTCTGGGAACAAAGTTACATTAATGAAATATGTTAAAGGAAAACTGTCAACGAATTAAAAAATACTATCACCGAATATGCTTAAAATTAGGAGTAAGGTTTTTGTTAGAGTACAAACTGTTTTCTACCTTTGTATGGACAGTAAACTTGACTTTGTCCCTTTCACAGAGTGCATCAGGAATGTCAATGAGTAGAGAAGCATCGTTGTTTAGATCCACAGAAACAGAGCGCATCTAAGGAAAGAGAATACAGCACAGATATCCAAAAAATTTAGCTGACTGGAAAACATATAGGCCTATAATATACAAAAATATATCTTTGTTGTTTTTAATGTTATTTTTCAAGAAATATCCAACAGGTCTCATAAAAGGTCCACATAAAAAGTAGGACTGAAAATAGCAGAGTCACTTGTCAAATCTTGGAATGGTTGCACTTTGAATGTTAGTTAAATAATACTAATAATTATAATTATGGTTCAGCATTCATGTTTCGCACATTTAACAGTATCAGAAAAGTCTTAGTCAGTAAGGCAACAATACAGATCCTCAGTGAGTGGAGTCCTCCCAAGCTTGACAATAACAGGTCAGAGGAATGTGCTGTTAACATCTACCGTGCTGACAGCCCAAAGCTACCATCCTAAATCCAGTCCAATGCCCATCAAGTCTGGCTGTAACTTCACAATGAGGTCAAACTGGGGTTCGAATTTAGAGAATACAAGAGGAAACATCTCAAAGTCAGGAACAGTCTCAATCTGAACAACTCACAGTCAATCCGAAGAGCTCCTCTATACAACCAAACATGCAAAGAAGTCTACAAAACTATAGCAATGCAAATCATCCTAGGGTGTAGATCTGTGGTGCTTGATACGATTTGGATCCAACAGTAAACAGAGCATCCAGTCCTTTGGTTTAACAGTTAGCTCCACACCCTTGTTGATCTGTTATACTACGAGATCGAGAATAAACGGACTCGTCTATTTACTGTCATGCTGGTTAGAGATCAGATCATACATCCAGCTGCCAGTGTAATGAGCCCGTCAGACACAAGGTCTCAGAGACAGAAGCAGCTACATTCAAAGTAGGTCAGAGTACAGATATATCGTAGTGTATTTTGACACTTGTCAGAATGCTAGTCATTTTAGCTGTATCAAGTGTAGCTATGAGCAATTAGCGTAAAGCGAGGCTAGTTTTAACAAGTTGACTAAGTTAGTGAACATTAACGAACAGGAGTTTTCTCAGCCCACATGCAAACTGACTTTTCTCGTGTGGGTTTAACAAACATCACGTTAGCTTTACCGATGGCACGATAGCTAGCTTTAGCAGCAGGCTAGCGTTATGTGGGCAGGAAAAGTTAGCGGCATTAAGTTGCCACAAAGCAAGTTTCACGCTAGCGGGGCTGAGTTTTCATGGAGCTCACGTGCCAGGAGCCTTTTGCCTCACCTTTTCCTTGTTGTTTTCGTCTAAAGAGGATGTCATGGTGAGACTGAAATTGACGGAATGGTATAAACAGGCCAACCACCCGAATAACAAAACTACAGGCAGGAAGCCCTCCCTCCGCTCACTGACGAGCTGTCAAACCGTTTTCTTCGCCCACTTCCTGGTGATGAAAGATAAACCCCGCCTTACAGAGAATTTGATTGGACGGTGTCAAATATACGGAAGCTACGATTGGTGTTTTACCCAATCGGACATGTTGAATTTGTGCACGAGTTTTCATCGCATTTGGTTTCTGATGCGCTCTTTTTTAAACATCAGTGTAACCTGTTGTTTGTCGTAAGTGAAAACATGGAGCGGAACAAAAAAAGGGAGTGAAGCATTAGTACCGCTGCCGAGCAGATGGCTACACGGATGACTATCGATGATGCACCGTGCCTTACGGGTAACGTAGTTTTTTATTATCACAAAAGCATCCATGAAAAACACAATCGGAACTTCAATTCCCATACGCGGACGTTTGTGCAACTGCAAAGCCGCGTCGTGTGGAAACAGTTGTGTATGAGCGGAGCGGTAACTTTGGAACATGTTGAGGCAAGTACGTGACCGTAAAATATACCGTAAAGCCTCGAGAACACCGTGGTTTTGTGTAGTTGAATGCCTCAAAGTAGACAATAAGTTATTGTTCTAGGTTGTTTGTGTGGAAGTTGCCAGGATGTTCATTGTGAAACGCGTGGTGTGTGTCAGAGGCATCATGCTCATCCAGTGCTCCTGCCTCCCTGTGAGGACCTTCTCAGCGTGTCGCTGCCTAAACTCTCCTAAAAGACGCAGCTCCTACAGTTTAGCGGTCAGTGAGCGCTACTCCTCTCTGGTGAAGTCCGTCATGTCCTCCAGGGTCAGTTCCCAAACCCCAGAGACCCTCCAGGCGGAAGACGACCACATCTACGGACCTGTTGTCAAAGCTCAAACGCCCTCATCTAAACCAGAGATGAGGGAACCTAAGACCCTTCATCCATTCATCCTATCTGAGAAGACTCTAGAGACAGAGGAGCCGGAGTCAGGACTTCCAGCTCGGATTCTGTTGAAGAGGGGCCAAGGAGGGTCCTCAGCACCGAGTGTGACCCGCATCCTTCAGCAGACCCTCTCCCCAGAGCAGAGATTCTACCTGGAGAGGTGGAAGAGGAGGATGATCGAAGAGCTTGGAGAAGATGGCTTCAAAGAGTACTCTCAGAGTGAGTATGCTTAACATACAGCGTGTGTGTCGAATCCAAATCGTTATTTGTGATATTGGTTCTCAGAAGTGAGATTCTCATGCGATCCTAAATTTGTTTTCAATCAGATTTATTCAGACAAGGCAAGCTTTTCCATTCCACTTTGGATGACATCCTGGCGTCAGGCGCAACACAGAAGAACAAACCTCCTGTGGAGACAGCAGAGCATCCCGCTGAGGTTCAGGGATACGTGGAGAGCGTCTCTCACATACTGGAAGATGTCAGTGCAGTGAGAGCGATTGAAAGCACCGTAAACCACGACACCTTGGACTACCTGGGAATTGTGGATTGTGTTGCCCGCTACAGGTACTCATGGTCAATTTACAGACGCAAGTACGGGTTACTCTTTCCACCCTTTGCACTGTTTCACACTCAGCCTTTTTTATTTGCAGAGGTGTTCTATGTGTTATTGACTGGAAGACTTCAGAGAAGCCCAAGCCATTCCTGAGCAACACATACGACAACCCTATTCAAGTGGCAGCGTATGCTGGGGCTTTGAACAATGATGGAAACTACAAATACCAGGTGTTTTATAAATGCTGTGATAATGTTTCTTTCTCTGGTTATAGTCCAGATTATGTGTCTCTCAGTTGAAGTCAGATTGAAGTTGCCACAGTGTTACACACGTTCAAAACTTCACACACCACTGATCTCTTCTCCCTGCAGGTTGATCATGGACTCATTGTAGTGGCTTACAAGGACGGCTCGCCTGCCCACGCTCACCAGCTCAGCTCAGAGCTGATGCTGCAGTACTGGAGGACCTGGTTGCTGCGACTTGAAAAGTTCACAGAACAGAGGTGAAGCTGTCAGATTCATTCCATTCAAAATAATTTCAGGTTTTTAATGCATAATGAATTTTTAGTCTGAAATAAATGCATTGATACATTATCATTATATAGTTATTAATGTGATCTCACCGATAGCGTTTGCCTTCATAAACTTAGTGAAAATAAAGAAATAACTAATCAATTGGTGAATAAAGAGGGAAATCAAATCAGATGATATGTTAACTAGTAATTTGTTTGGAGGTACAGTATTTACTTATTATGGGTATTTTCTCATTATATTCAACCTTTTGTAAACCAAATTATTTAAGTTAAAAAAATCTTCATGAATGAACATGAATGTATAAAATTTTCCAACACAAATATAGTGTAATAACGAGGCATATTATTGAGATTATGATTTCTTCTTTTCATTCCAGATCCGGTGATACGTCTACAGCTGTTTCAGAAAAGAGTTGAGGTGTTTGAAAGGAGATCTGCTGGTGCATTTCCATGAGGCAGGTTATTTCAGTTTAAGGCAACTGAACCTCTTTCAATGCTGTAGGAGGACAAAAACCATCAGCTTCTACCCGACTTATTGACCTGCATTTTCAGCTCATCTTTGCCTCTGTGCTCTGGCAGAGTGTACAGCATCCCCATGGCACACGAAACATACATCAGGATCCAGGACACAGGCCTTCGTTCTGCATCCAGCACGCAGCAGGGGGGGAAGTTTGCGATCATGTTGCGGATCATCCTCACAGCCTCGTCATCATTTGCGAACTTCCATGTCTGACCCACCAGGCCAACATGGGATTCATCCAGAGAGCCGAGGGAGACTCCTGAGCTGAACATAACAGAGAGCAGAATTATTGACAACCTGTGATGATAATGACCTGTCTACAGAATTAAGATGTAATTGCTTGGATAGGCTCTACCTTTCTATAGAGGGAAGCCTGGATACATCTTCTAATATCATCATGTGACACACCCAGGTTTTTGCTGGACACACGTTTTTCTGATGCCACTGCATTGAATATGTCCATGTGCTGCAGGCTGATAGCTTGGACAGAAGAAAATAAGTTTATTTTTTGTAAAATAATTTCCACTGTTAGAAATTATTTCCACCTTGATTTGAAACTTTAATTATGCAAATGTTGAATGAATATTTAGAAGACAGAAAGATCAAAACATTGATGTGATGTCTGTTTCTCTTCTGAGCTTTGCTTTTACAGGCCCACCTTATTTAAACCCAATAATGGTACTGAGCTACTGATCTTTGACCTCATAACCTTTTGAAGTGTCGGAATATGACAGAAAATGGTATCATATCTTTTTCAGATCATTAAATGATATGCCACCAACAATGGGAGGACTTTGACAGTAAGGAAGGAGAAGCAAAGTTTAAAACACAGCTACAATTGTACCTTAACTTCAGCAATGTAACAGAAATCAGGTGTCTGGGTTATGGAACTTATTTCTTATTGATATGTCTTGTCATTTAGTGGAAAATTCAATAAAAATGCAAAGATCAGTACATTATAATGTCATGATAGTATTTCTTTCACTACATAAGGCTGTAAAGATCACCGGCAAAAAAAATGACAGAATACATTTTTAAGCGATGTAAAGTTTCTTTGAGCATTATACATTTTGTATTATTATCATTTTTGTTACTATTATTATAGATGGACGTTTTGGGGGTTGTTAAGGTAAATTCAAGTTAGATGACAACATAATAATTGTGATCCGTATGTGTGTGTGTGTTACCTGCACATGTAGTGGTCTGCAGACAATCAGTGAAGTGTGGCCATGTATCCACTAACACCTGGACAGGGTCTGAGCGGACTCTGTTGATTTGGACCAAATTACAATACACCTTGAAAACACCACAACAACAGCATCATCACAATCCAGATAATATAATACGTTCAGTTATTGTTACTGAGCAGATGAGGTCTCTGCGTCTTTCAGCTGCTCCCCGGTCAGCTCCATGTTGGTGATGTTCTCTGATCTGAAAAAAAACATGTGAACACTGCAGTAAAGGAGTTTCTATGTTTATGGTTGTGAGATCAGCTGTGCTGGAGCAACAGTCAGGCGCAGTGGTTGGTTATCGATTCGCACTTTCGACACGAACATCGAGCGCTAATTTGAAAAGAGAAAACAAAACGTAAAATCTGGTTTATGTAGTTTATCACATATCAAGTGTCAATATTTTAAACGCATTTCCCTCTTTGTCACAATGCTCAGTTCAGACAGGGTGATTTGTGTTCCAATTGTTTCTTATCTATTGGCTATTTTTCTTTTCTCTGAACATTCCACAGGATCACGTGTTATCTGCTAATAGGCTACATTTATCTTCCACTCCTCTGCACATGGTGTGACCACATGAGTCACGTTTACCAAAGAATCACGTGTTATGGTCATTATRCTATTACTCCTGCACTGCTCTTTACACACCAACTATGATACAGCTCAAACTGCTGGTAGTTTAAAAATAGTAATACACATCTGGACTGATGCACCAACTTTTTGGGGAAATATCTAATGAGAAGAGATCAGATGGATGGATGGATGGATGACTTTTATTTGACTCATCTGCTATAAAAAGGAAATAGTATTATTAACAGCATGTCCCTCATTATCATTATTATTATTATTAAGATCCACATCTGGATGCATAGCTTTGGAGAAACAGAAAAATGTAACATAAATTTGAAGATCAAAAAGATTACAATTATTTCAAAAATCTTTAAAATTACAATGTGCAACAGCATCGACAGATTTTAAGGTTACATTCCATTCATGTTTTTTTCATACAGATCCAACTTTCTATGACAGTATCAGCTTCACATTCCAAACATGTGAAATCAAACCCTGAYGTTAAACCACTTCGCCCTGTATGAAGGATCTTCAGTAAAGCCCAGGTTTTTAAAGAGCCTGTAGGAGACCACGTTCTCCTCCTCTATGAAGCAGAAGACTGGGTGGCCCTCATCGTKGAATCTCTTGGCCATGRTGCTGACCAGGACTTTGGCATATCCTTTCCCCCTATGCTCTGGCAGAGTGTACAACAGGCCCAARGCTCCGTAATCATACACTAGGATCCAGGACACCGGCTCACCCTGTCTGTCCGTGATGCAGCATGTYGGGAAGTTGCAAATTAAGTGTTTAATAATGTTATAACCTTGTTCGTTTCCTCCAAACTTCCAGGTTTTATTCACCAAGTCAACGTGGGAAAGGTTAAGAGATGAGATCCTTGATTCAAGCTCACTGTCGGAAAGAAATAATACAATAAACTCAGATCTGAGAGGAGAGAAACATAAGATAAAGTGCTTTTAATGATCTGAGCGTATACCTGCCAACTGTTGGTGTGAGGAGATGGCTGCTGTCTGCCAAAAACAGAAGATGCACCGATGTAAAGGGTGTGATGGAAACTTGTCTGATAGAAGACACTTCTTTGAGAGTGGGCTCATTGGATTTGTCGAGTCCTTTAGGAAAACAATGATTTATATCTTTACAATGGAGCTATTTGTCTTAACAAGTGGTGGAGTAAGTATTTACATCACTAACTCTAAGAAAACTAATACGAATCTAATAAGAAAACTGTGCACAAATAATCTCTGACTAGTAAATGATCTGGTTGGATTACTATTAATAAAAGCAAAGTGTCTTTTTGGCCGAAACAGAGGAAATAGTCAACACAGGAGAGCCCAGCTGTGAATTCATAGGTGAAAATTACAATGGACATTTAATAAAGAGAGAATAAAATAGCAAATGTTAATTAGAAACTGGAATAGTTTGCTTCAGGCCTGATTTGATCTTTTCAAGTAAATGAATATGTTGTGTGGAGAAGATCACTTTTCTTTTGTCTCCTTTAACTTCTTCTGTGTCTGGATACCTCTGACAAGCATTACTTGGAGATCTWTTTATGAACTGTGTACTTTTAGCTCTATGTTATGTTGTATAGATTATTATTACTAATTCAATAATGTCTATTTATGATTTTTTTATATGATAATAATGGATCATTTTTCATAAAGTACTTATATATATATATATATATATATATATATATATATGGAGCTATGAACCTGGTTTGTCCAGTTGTAAGTACTATCATGACTGAACAAGAAAGTACTTGCTCTCTGCAGTGCTCTGAACTCACCTCCAACTGTGAAATCTGTACTCCAGTCAAGTACATCCTCTTCTGTAAACATTTCCTGTAAAACTTGTGCATCCATGCTGTAGTATGACACCTTTTTCCAGAGCTGCTGTGCAAGCTTGTCCTGGAAAATAAACACTAAATCAAACAACCATGTGGCAACATACCCAACAGATACCCGATGAGATGAACTCACCTTGGGATCAGGTCGGCAAATGATGACCTTAAAATCAGGCCAGGAATCAACAACCACCTCCAGTGTATTTGGTTTGTTTCTGTTAAAACCATACAGGAAGCCGTAGACCTTCAAACAGGAAAAACACAGTCACTTCAGTTGTTTACAGGTGCACTGCGATTAAAAGGTGACAYGTTGAGGTTTAAATACCTTATAACTTTTTGGTAGGTGTTTGAACAGAACTCCTTCAGCAACCTTTAGTTCATCTTTGTTCAGGACCTTCATGTTTGACTGGTGGAGCCTCACTGTTACAGTTCCTCCTGTCCTGTCAGTTTCAACTCATCTGTTCCAGTAAAAAGTTTCAGAGTCCAGTACTTGTTAAATCATTTACAGTCGGTCATCCGCTTCATACTTTTTATATCTGGTGCCAACTGTGCTTGTATGGCTGGAACCTGAGTCACTAAGCCATCTCCTGACAAAATAGCTTCTGTATTGTTGAAMAGAAAATGTCATCAAAGGAAGAAGAGATTCCTAGTTTTCCTCTGTRGTTGGTCCTTTATAAGATCACTCAATGCTTTATATTTTTACWGTCTGAATAGAAAGATGGAAAATGTATGAAATAAGCAGAAGAACATTAAACAAAAATCTGTGGTAAATCAGTTCCTCCCTGTATTTAAACCTTCAAACATTATCTATGTATGGAATGTCCATTAACAACTAAAAAAATGAAGTCAGATAACAGTTAAAATTGACAAATGATGCTTTAATACCTGATTGTAATTACCGGAGGAAAGTCTGAAATTCTCAAATATGGACACAATCATTTGAGTTCATGTGCAGCTTCAATCATCATTTCTTTATTAGAACAGAATGGGGTACATCCACAATCCACTACAAAACRGTTCAACACACWATAATTTGTTGTTTGCCAGCTTTAAAGATTATGCATAACTACCTGCTCTGTAATACTGCATAGGTTGTTCTGTATTGCGGCACAATGAGACTGTCAGAGGTTAATCAATCTAACATACATTGAAAAAGCAAAGGGAAGTGGAAATACATTTGTGAATTGTCTAGTACAAAGTATTGCTTTTGCATCAAGGTTATTTTTGCAAACGTTGCCAACGCTGAATGTTTCTCTCGCAGTTCTCTGTCTAGCATTTCTCCCCCACCAGCTGGAGGTCAGGTATCCATGGGCGGCTCCACACACTGAATGTGCACTCGTAAGGCTGTGGGGAACAGGTCAGAAAACACCCCAGAAGTCACATTAAAATACTTAATCAAAATATGTACTGTGCAAAGCACTTCCATTACTAACCTTAGAACAAATGTTGAATAATTTGAAAAAGCTAGCCATCTTGTTAAATAAACTATTGTGTGACATCTTTATGTTTCACAGTGCATTCATAAGAAGAGTGACATGTTTCTATATTTTGCTAAGGTATTGTTGATACAAGTTGAAGCCAGACCCCTTTACACCACTCTACTTTATCTAGTTCCTACTTCTCTCTATAGCATCAGCAACAAAGCTCAGTGATCAAAAGTATCCAGTTGATTTGCGCTCTAATGAAAAACACAATCTATTGTTAAAGTGTTAAAAGTTTTTTGTATGACATCCAACCCCTGTCAAAAGCCTCTCGGTTATGAATGACTGAAAGCTGCACTTAATAGGTCTTTACCTGAGCAAGGGCTGGGTCTTTGTGGATCTCGCACACTTCATTCACAACACGGTCCTTTCTGCAGGGGGTCTTGGCCATTTTCACAGTGATGATGTACTTGTTGCCAGAGACAACCTGTAGGAAAACGTGGGTGAGAATAAAAGGAGACACAGATCATTTTAAAAGCCTTGATAATGAAGCACTGAAGCATTTACACACAGCACATTTCAGGACTTAAACGAACACAAAACACTTATTATGAGCTTGTGTCAGTCGATGCCAGGGAATGAGCTGAAGCGGCTCCACGCAGTCCACATGTTATAACTTGCAAGATGCAAGTTTATACGATAAAGGAAAAGTAATAAAGTACAAATAAAATATAAACTATAAAACAATATACAGTATAACAGAATTGCACATGTATGAAATGAAACGTATGAAAAACAAGAACAAGATTTGTTGGACAAGTAAATGAGTTGGGAAAGAGAGGACAGGGTGTGACAGGATTATGGTGTTCACATCCAGGCTTAAGTTATTATCCTCAGGGATCCATTTGAATAACTGAATAGAGGAACACACGTACACTCAGTGTGCCAGTGGGTCTGGGTACAGGCCTACTAGCACTGAGGCCTAAACACACACTGCATTACCGTCATTTAACCGGGCAGACAGCCGGGCAGACAGCCGGGCAGACAGCCGGGCAGACAGCCGGGCAGACAGCCGGGCAGACAGCCGGGCAGACAGCCGGGCAGACATTAAGCCGTTACTGACCTGTCTCTGGACCCTGACCACTTCAGCCACCTGCCTGAGGAACATGTCGTTGGTTCCACTGTTGTGTTTGGCGACGGCGAAGTCGAGGGCGTCCTGCGCCTCGCTGATATTGATGTCCCTCGGCGCCCCCACCAAATTACCTAAGCCCACGGCAAACAGAGCGGCGAGAACGGGAAAGACGAGCATCTTCATGGCGCCTCTGTGGATCCGAACACGGGGCAGAAGAAAACAACAACGTCGGGCTGAAACCACCCTGTTATATAAACAGCGACGTCACGGCGGAGGGAGGGGCGCATAGAAACAACCAATCAGGAATCTCTGCAGCGCAAACACACACTGATATACGCACGGCTGCAGCCCGCGGGAGGGCGGGGTTAAGCACTGCACTGCAGGTCCAGTGAGGGAGTCTCATGAAGGATGACGAATTAATCACAAGGCATTGAGTCACAAGTGTTAAATTACGATAATCTGATGGATTGATTCACCTCTCATAAGAAAACGAGTTTTATTTTATATGGTCTGTGATTTTACTGCTGGTTTTCCTTGTAATATTTGCAGTGCCACTAACTACCAGTATTA